TCCACAGATTCCTTTTCTTTATTATCTTTGAATTGCCATGACTTCTTAGGAAAGACAGTGGAGTGGTTTCCTATTGCCTTCTCCACAGATTCCTTTTCTTTATTATTTGTGAATTGCCATGACTTCTTGGGAAAGATAGTGGAGTGGTTTCCCGTTGTCTTCTCCACAGATTTCAATCACCTGAAGAAGGCCGGTGCTTTCAACTACCGAAACGTTGTGAAAATTCCAATGAAGATGAGGATAATAGTCCGAATCATGTAAATAATGCAAGTAATCATATTACCTAATCTCAGAGATATAGGCAGATATTAACAGTGTTTTGTATCGCACATCTCAACTGTGAATGTATCTTCCAAATTATTACTTTCCTGTCAACTAAAATTGTAACAAAATTAAATGCAATGTCAATTGTCATCTTCTGTTGTTTATAATGTTTGCAGTCTTTTCTCTTCAATAACGTTTCTCTGGCTCACTCTTGCGCCTTAGTGGATTTATCTCCTTGCTTGAATTAAATGTGTAAGAAAGATATATTTATGTATGAAAAATTGTCTAGTATTCGCATGGGTTTTTATTAACATAACGTTAAGCTTTGAAGTTACAAAGATATTAAGACTCTGTTTTAGGTGATAACTCGATTTCTTATGCGGCTTGTCACTTTGATTTAATAAATGGCACTGGTCAACGAGATTATTGGTGCCCCCGCCATAAAAAAACACGTTTTTTAGTTAAGTTGTTGGTGATGCTTCCAAAAAAGAATCTTAGTTTTTCATGGTTAACTACATTTTTGCTGTACTAACATTGCTCATTTTTGAAAAAAAAAATAGTTAATAAAGGTCGTAAAATCCCATCAATTTTCAGGTACTACGAGCAATTTATATCAGCCACCTGAAATAAATTATTTTTAGAAACAAAAGTGTTTTTGCTTCAAAAATTTAGAAATACATACCGATTTATCGCTAAAATTAAAAAAAAAATGATAAATTTTATCAGTAATACATTTGTGTAAACCCGATAATTACAGTTGCTTCAAAAATGAAAGCATAAAATGTTCTGAGTCTTTCTATAAAGGCATGTTAGATCCAATGACATCACCCAAAGAATGTGAGTTCAATACCCGGTTAAGGCAGTGGAGAACTTTCAGAGGGAAATTAGCAGGAGATAACTGATAACTGACATCCATCAAACATGGCATGTGGAACTAGAACAGTCTACCCCAGTGAGCGAAATAAAGGGTTCAGTTCGACATTCCAACCGCCTGAAGAAGGCCGGAGCGTACAACGGCCGAAACTTTGTGATAAATATGGCGACAAAGATGAGGACAATAGTCCGAATAATGTAAAGAATGTAAAATCTTCTGTTTTACATTCATAAATTTATCCAATCGCATTTATCCCTTCACTACGGAAGAAAACCAAGCACATTGGGAGCCTTTTGTTTTCGCAATTGGAAAGATACTCCAACTACAGACATCCCAATTGATGCACCTATTCCACTGTACATGATACTGCTGGAGTATTAAAAGGGACTTAAATAACATTGAACATGACAGACAATCAAGAAAGAAAACATTTTAACTATAGTACATATGTTCACGAAGGTTTTATTTATGCTCTTAGTTTATTTAATGATTTGATGAAAATACTTGTTAGTCTTGGTATATTCAATTGTGTTATTTTTAAAGACTTAGGGTCAGATTGTTATTGCAAAAATAGTATTTCTCAATAAGCAGATCAATATTGTTGGTTTAAATACGAAATAAGAGGTTTCCACGATTTTATTTTGAGAAATATTGCCATCGCTTAGTATCATATATACAGAAAACAAATGAAAAAAATGCTTTTTTTCCCCTAAAAATGAAGCATTTCTGTACAGCAAAAACGATAGCTAACCAAGAAAAAGTAAGATAATTTTCAGATTCAGCGCCCTCAAATTACATTTAAAAAAAAAAGATGTTTGGTGTCTTGACACCATTTCAATTTTTTTTTGTTAACCAGTGTAATCGTTTTAAGCAAGAACTCGATCATTGTCCTCAACTAATCCTTATTTTTTCGCTATCTCTGCTGACTCAATTTGAGCCGATATTTTCTCTTTTGTTTTCACTCTTATCTCTCTTTCCTTTCGTAATTTTCATTTGTGAATATTCCCCTTTTTATAGACTGTCCAGTTGTTCACTGATGTTCGTAGAGCCCCGACGTGTATTGGAACAGAATGGTCTGTACTGGTCCGTAAATATAAGTGGAAGAAATAGAGATGAGGGTTAAAAACGGAAGGCAAAAGAAAGGAAACCAATGTTTGGTTTCGCTTGTGTAGGCGGCGGACGTGTATTGTAGAAGACGTCTGATTGGCTTGGAGAGGCGGGAACAAAGAACTAATCATTGATGGCTGCCCTCATTCCAATTCGATTGCGCCAGTATCGATATCTGATTGTCTTCTTCACTTTCACAATACAATATGAAATTCGAAGAAAAAGAACGAAGAATGAAGAAAAGAAGAATAATTTAAATTCTGGTGGGGTGAGTTGTTTGTAAGGGAATGAAAGAAATGAATAAAAACGAACGAAAGAAAGAAAGAAAGAAAGAAAGAAAGAAAGAAAGAAAAGAAAGAATAAAATAATTGTGGAACTGTGAAAAACAAAACGGAAAGAAATAAAAGAGAAAGAAAGAAAGAAAGAAAGAAAAAGGAAAGAAGAATGAAAGCTAAAAAACTAAAAAAGGAAAAAAAAAGAAAACTGTCAAAATAAAAGAAAGAAAGAAAAAAAGAAAGAAAGAAAGAAAAAAAAGAAGAATGAAAAGAAGAAATAAATAGAACATAAAAAGAATGAAAGGAAAATAATTATGTAAAAATACTGAAATGAAAAAATAAAGAAAAGAAATAAAAATAGAATATGAAGATATATATATAAATATATATATAATGTTAAGAAAAAAGAAGAAATAAATGAAACTAAATGGAAGAATGTGAGAAAAAGAAAAAGACAAAAACTGCAAGAAATGTGTAAAAGAAAGAAATGAAAGAAAGTCAAGAAAAACAAGCAAAAGAAGGAAGAAAGGAAGAAATAATAAATAAGTTTCATAAAATGAATATATATATATATATATATATATAGAAAATATACGAAAAAAAAAAACAAAATCCTTATATACAATTATGCTGTTTTAATCTTAATATGTCAATGTCGGACGTTTCGGTCTAATAAACCATCTTCAGGACATATTCATAAAATATAATTAACATTATCAATTCAACATGAATTTTATATTTTCTTCATACTGTCAGATCTATATCCATATATTTGCTTATATATATATATATATATATATATATATATATATATATATATATATATATATATAATGCTAAAAATAGAAAGAAATAATAGGCTAAAAGAAAAAAAGGAAGAAAATAAATAAATTAACAGAAAAGGAAGTAAAAGAAGAGAAATAAGAAATACTGAATAAAGAAAGAAAGAAAGAAAGAAAGAAAGAAAGAAAGAAAAAAGGAAAGAAGAATGAAAAGCTAAAAAGAAGAAAGAAGGAACGAAACAAAAGCAAAAATAGAAATGAAGACAGAAAGAAACAACGAAACAAAGAAAAGAAGAAATAAATGAAACTAAATGGAAGAATGAAAGGAAGAAAAAAAGAAGTGTAAAAAAGAAATGAAAGAAAAAAAAGGAAGAAAGGAATAAAATAGTTCATGAATATATATATATATATATATATATATATAATATAAGAAATGGAAAGAAAGAAAGACATTTTTTATGAAAAAAAAGGCAGAAATCTAAAATAACAAGAAAAATAAGGGAAAAGAAAAATAGATAGAATTAATAAATAATCAAATAAAAATACTTTAAAAAGGAAGAAAAAAAAGGAAAAAACAAAAAAATATACAAAAGAATGAAGACGTTTCGGTCTAATAAACCATCTTCAGACATATTCATAAAATATAAAACATTAAATTCAACATGAATTTTATATTTTCTTCATACTGTCAGATCTATATCCATATATTTGCTTATATATATATATATATATATATATATATATATATATATATATATATATATTTATATATATATATATATAAAAGAAAGAAAAAGAAAAAAGAAATAAAGCTAAAAAGAAAGGAAAGAAAGAAAAAAACGAAATATAACAGAAAAAAGTAAAAGAAGAGAAATGCTGAATAAAGAAAAAGAAAGAAAAAAAGGAAAGAAAAAAGAAAAAAAAAGAAAATGAAAAAGCTAAAATAGACCTAAAAAAAGTGAAGGAAGAAATTGAAATATGAAATGGGCAAAAATGGGGAAAGAAACAACGAAAAAAGAAAAGAAGGAAAACTAAATGGAAGAATGAAAATAAAAAAAAAAAGAATGAAAAGAAAGAAAAAAAAGAAGAAGAAAAAGAACGGTTAAAATGAACGAATATATATATATATATATATAAATGAAAGGAAGGACGAAAAGTTTATGGGAGAATGATGTATTTAAATGAGTTTAGATAAAATGAAACGAAACGAGAAAAGAAAAATTCTTTAATTAATGCATCCTATACGGAACCGTCATATGCTTCTTCTCGGCCACAAAGAACCTTTTTTGCATCCTTCTTCAAAGAACTTCTATGAAAATTTCTCGGACATTCAGGCCTTCTGTTTTCATTTCTTCTTCTTCTTTAAAATTCCATTCGGTATATGAAAGAAAATATACGGAAAAACAAACTCCTTATTACAATTATGCTGTTTTAATCTTAATATGTCAATATGTTTCGGTCTAATAAACCATCTTCAGGACATATTCATAAAATATAATTAACATTATCAATTCAACATGAATTTTATATTTTTCTTCATACTGAAAGAAAACTAAAGTAATGCATAAAAGGAAGAAAAAGAAATAAAGAAAATGAGAAAGGAAGAAATGCATATGAAATGGGTGGGGACTCAAAAGAAAGAAGGAAAAGGAATGAAAGACCGAATGAAATAATGAGAGAGAAAAAAGAACAGTTAAAATGAACGAAATAAATGAAAGGACGAAAAGGTTATGGGAAAATGATCTATCTAAACGTCAAAGAAAAATAATTCAATCCCTGTTTTCTTCTTATTCCATTCTACTCATTCTTCTTTATCTTTCTTTCTATGTATCTGTTTATCTATCTATGTATCTATCTATCTATCTGTTTAAGTCTGTTCCAATCTACTGTTACACACTAAGTCTCTGCCAGTCTGTCTGTCTATCTGTCTGCCTATCTATCTATCTATCTATCTATCTATCTATCTATCTATCTATCTCAATCTATTCAACTCCCTTTGTCTCAATCTCTCTCTCTCTCTCTCTCTATATATATATATATATATATATATATATATATATATATATATATGTGTGTGTGTGTGTGTGTGTGTGTGTGTGTGTGTGTGTGTGTCAATCTATCTATCTAATCTATCTATCTATCTATCTATCTATCTGTCTATCTATCTATCTATCATGGTCTTTTCATTATTTATCTATCTATTTCTTTGTCTGTCTCGGTCTTTTTATTTTCTATCTATCTATCTCACTCTTTTCATATCTATCTATCTATCTATCTATCTATCTATCTATCTATCTATCTATCTATCTCACTCTTTTCATATCTATCTATCTAAGTATATTTTCTATCTATCTCAATATAGTTTCTATCTTTATATGTATATGAGTACTGTTTCATGGGGAAAGAGAAACAAATAGGACTCTTCAGTTAAAACCAGAGAGAGAGAGAGAAGCAGTTAAAATTTATGGGCCATATAATGATGAAAGAGAGTAAGGAGAGCGTGACACTGACAGGACATATCTAAGGTAAGAGACACAAAGGGAAACAAGGACTTACACAGTTAACAAAGTTGTGTAAATGGATGGGAGAACAAGGAATGGTGGATCATAAGGAGACAAACATTGCTTAGAGTTATAAAGTATAGGAAGTTGTGGAGAGCTATGATCTTTTATATCTAATTTTCAGTTAATTATCTTTTAGTAATACAAGTATACAAGGTTCTGTCCCTTCTGCTGTTATCAGATATTGAACCCACAACTCCTTGAGGGAATTCAATTTTCGGAGTACTCAACCAACGCTTTTATCCATTAGGTAATGACCACTGCTGAGGGAAAATACATGGTGATTTGCGTTACTAAAGGGAATTAAGTGAAACAGAGATATACCCTCGACCTCCAAAAAACGGAATTACGTGGAATTATAAGACTACAGAGGTGGAAAAATAAGTGAAGCCGAGATGCCAGATCAGGACCAATAATATTCCTGATTCTTCTTTGCATTTTATCAAATATCTCTGGATATATATCAGGAACACCGGGCCATATGTGACAGCAATATATTAAATTATTCAAAGATTTTTTGGCGGTACAAAATTTAATGGCCGCTTTGAAATTTATATTTATTGCCAATCATGATGATAATAAGAAAAATGTAAAATTGAAAAACGAACTAGCTAACCAGTTTCGAACCTCGCCCAACAGAAGCAGGGACAATAACAAAAGTGATAGATATGCTAAGATGGTTTCCTTGGTGGTTCGATATTGTTACTTTGCTGTTGACACTCGTATAGTCTTTTCTGCTAAGACTGTCCTTTCATCCAGGCAGAAAGACGTTCTCCCTCCACATCATAATAGTTCTTTGATTTATTCATTTAAATGTAGCTGTGGCTCACACTACATAGGGAGAACAACTCAAAGGCTGGATGTGATAATAAAGCAACATGGCCTAACAAAAATCCGCCATCTTAAATATAATTCTTCTGACTTCTGGCAAATACATACAGGTCTTCCATCGCAGGTCACCTAATAAATAGCCATAATTGTGCCGCTAATTTCAGTGTGGACTCATTTACTATTTTTAGCAAGTAACACTCGATTTATCACTTAAAAGTGTTGGGGTCATTTATATTTTCTCTTTGAAACCTTCGTTGTGCAAACAGAATGATTTCCTACTGAGCCTCCAACTAATTTCCATCTAAGTATTTTTCCTCCCAATTCATACTGTTCATCTCCTTTTATTGATAATTCTATATTTATTAACTTCGATTTAGCTCTGTTGAGCGAGGTTCGAAACAAAAAAAGAAGTGATAGATATGCTAAGAGGGTTTCCTTAGCGGTTCGACATTTTGCTGCTAACATTCGTGTAGTCTTTTCTGCTAAGCCTGACCTTCTATCGATGCGGAAAGACGTTCTCCCTTTACATCATAATAGTTTTTTGATTTATTCATTTAAATATTGTTATCGTTCTCACTACATAGGGAGAACAACTGAAGGCCTGGATGTTAGAATAAAGCACCACGTCTCAAAAAAGATCTGCAATCTTAAATATAATTCGTCAAACATTCTAAACAATACATAACGGTCTTCCATCGCAGATTACTTAATAAATAGCCATAATTGTGCCGCTAATTTCAGTGTGGACTCATTTACTATACTTACCAAGTAACACTCGAATTACCACTTAAAAGTGTTGGAAGACATTTATATTTTCTCCTTGAGACTTTCGTTGTGCAAACAGAAGGATTTCGTACTGGGCCTCCAACTAATTTCCATCTAAGTATTTTTCCCCAATACATGTTGTCCATCTCTTTTTATTGATAATTCTATATTTATTAACCTCGATTTAGCTAGGTGGAGCGAGGTTCGAAACCGGTTAGCTTGCTCGTTTTGCAGTTTTACCTTTTACTTATTATCATGAGTGGTAAAAATAAATAAAAAAAAATGTTTTTTTTTCATGACATTCATTAAATTATTTACATAAATATTATAACGGACAATGAATAGGAAAAATACAAAATTATCTTTGAAGAAGATACACACTTTAGAAACAAATTTTTCAAATATGAGTCTATGTGAGACAATCGGGTTTATTAATTAATTCTTCATAGCCTGTCGTTTGATGGGCGTATCCCTTTCACATATTCGTCGGAAGTAATGGGTCATCGTCCAAACATGCACACCCAGTGCGTGTTGTGATGGAGGGGGGCGAATGTGAAACTCTTAGGCGATCATGTCACCTTTTGATTCGTTCTCGCCTAAGTGTATTTTTTAAGCATTTCACACCAAGATAGGCAGGAGTACCATTAGTACGCAAAGGATTACAGAAAATGAGAGCAGGAGTAAAGAGGAGTGTTTGAATAGGAGGGGGGAACAGGATCAAGACATCGGAAGATGTCGATTGACATTATATTTGAATATTTGAAGATTATAGCTATCAGGGAAGCAAGTAAGTGGAACAGAGTTCCACTGTCGAGAAGTCTGAGAGAAGAAGATGTTCGAGTCGAAGCGGCCGTTATATTTAACTGTTTCTACAGTGAAAGGGTGGTACCGAAATGCCAATCTAGTAGCATGCTTAAATTCATGCAGTTTGGGTAACAGTGTAAGTAGCTCGTCAGAGCAGTTGCCATGAAAATATTCGTAGAAAAGACAAATGGAATCCACAGCGGGTCTGTGAGAAAGTGACTGTAGACGAGATGCCAGATCAGGACCTATCATATTACATATCCATATCTGTCAGTTCTAGAAATGCATGAGTATAATGATGCAAAGTTGTGAGGGTTTCATTTGTTAGCTTCCCATTATTTCCAAGAATGCTATTCCAAGATTCTAACCAGTTGCAGAATACATTGAGGAATATTGTCATCATTTACTTTAAATTGATTAGCATATTTATTGTTAAGTCGTTAAACTTTATATGATGTTTTTGCATTCAGTATTTTCCACCAAGTATGAAATATGATCGTGTATTCTACAATCCCTGACTAGTGAATTGGTTAAAAATTTGCAAAAACTAATGAAACAGTTTGACTTTTTAAACCTAGTGGCAGAAAGAGTCTTTGAGGTCAATTTATAGCAATATTTCAAAACTGACTGAGATTCCAGGACATGAAGCTTCCGTAAAGTACAAAATGGGTCGCTTTGGATATTATCTAAATCATGATTTCCTTTATGATAAAATTTTGGGTACACCATGCTTGCATCTTTTTGGCCAAGCTATTTGTTTCTAATACACTTTAATATATGAACTGAATCAAATATGAAGAAAAGAGGTCTAGATTTCAAAACTGGATATGGCTATGCAATTGAAAGTTTTGCAGGAATACAAAAGAAAGATATAGCTTTCTTATTTATTGCATTATTTTCTGTTATGACTGATATTACAATAAAGCCTATCACTTTTAGACCAATTACTACACGTTCAACTATGGCAAATAAATTATCAGGTTTAAGGCTTTTAGTTGTCATATGTACAACATCCTTGTTAAAAGCGCTTGTTGCAAACTCATTGCTATTGTGGATACAAATGCACTTATTTGGAGCTATTGTATAGGGTTGTTAAATTTTACTCATTATTCATTACTTAATTATTTGTTATTTATTATTATTATTATTTCCTTTGATCATATTACATTTGAAAATTAGAAGATAATAGCTGTCAGGGGTGCAAGAAGAGGGAAACAGAGTTCCACTGTCGGGAAGTGCGAGAGAAGAAGCTGTTGGAGTAGAAGAGGCGGTTACATTTAACTGTTTCGACAGTAAAAGGGTTGGACCGAGATGCCAACCTAGTAGCAACGCTTAAATTGATGCAGTTGGGGTAACCAGGGAAGTAGATCGTCAGAGCAGTTACCGTGAAAAAATTTGTAGAAAAGACAGAGGGAAGCCACAGCGCATCTGGTAGAAAGTGACTGCAGACAAGATGCCAGATCAGGACCTATCACATTGCATATACGACTCTGTCAGTTCTAGAACTTCATGAGTAGTACGATCAAAGCTGTTAAGGTTTCATTTGTTAGATTCCCATTATATCCAAGAATGCTATTCCAAGATTCTAACCAGTTGCAGAATACGTTGAGAAATATTGGCATCATTTACTTAAATGGGTATTGTCATATTTATTGGTAAGCCGCCAACCTTTGTATAGTATTTTTTTCATTCAGTATTTTCCACCAAGTATAAAATAGGTTTATGCCTTCTGTAACTTCTGAAAAGTTGGGCAAACATTTATTTCCCTAAGGTCTGCAATCTCTGAATAGGGAGTTGGTTAAAAATGAGCATAACTAAGGAAGAATTTTGCTTTTAAAACTAGTGACAGAGAGAGTCTTTTAGGTCAATTTATAATTTCAAAACTGACTGAGATTCCAGGACAGGAAGCTTCTGTAACGTACAAAATGGGGCACTTTAGATCTGTATCTATAAAAGGCAGGATGTGTGTGTGTGTGTGTGTGTGTGTGTGTGTGTGTGTGTGTGTGTGTGTGGGTGTGTGTAACGAATGCACGGTCGCAATTTTTGACGGATTTGCACCAAAATTTACATGCACATGCTCCACGTTAGCGGGAAGGCCAAGACCGACTTTGCATTTCCCAACTCCCATCGATAGTGGAAATAATCCATTTTTTTCATGCTTGAAATTGAAATCTGCATGGCACTTTACTCCAATTGGCTCATTCGCTTGCTTAAACTCAACGTTGATTCTGATTCCGCAGAACTGGGTTGGGTGTGAAAAAGTATTTGTTGTTAACATTTTTTTTTCATTCGGTCTTTCCAGTTACGAGTCCTTTTTTAAAGCTGATCGTTTTCTATTCATTTTGTTTAGTTCTTTTTTTGTAACAGATTTAATGTTTAGTATAGAGCTTAGAAAAAATTCACAGTGTGAGATAGGCAAGAAGT